TCAGTGTTGTGGGTTCGTGCAGCACCTGGTCTCCATACGCCACACGAGCGAGCTCAGGTGAGCTGGGACCGCGGTTCTCAGCAGCCAGAAGTGGGTTAATGATGTATTGTCAAGCAGAAAAGTGGGATACAGCACACACATGTCCCTCATGTAGGTCACAGGCCTTCTGGTACAAGCTCACCAGCAGGATTTAGAGGTTTGGAGGAGTCCTTGTACTGTACGTGAATCACTTCATTACACAGGACTGCAGCAAAAGCAAAAGAACTGTGTGTTTCGGTGCAAAAAGCGATGGAGTCTTTTGGGTCAATGTTTAAACACGTTTGACCATTGCACTGAAAGGGAAACTATCAAAGGCACTCGGGCACAGGTCTATACTTGCTGTGGACTTCAGCACTGGTTAGAACAGGACTGCAAAGAAATGAGAACCTCACTTTCACAAAAAAGGATGGAATTTGTATTTATTCAAGTTTATTTTGTTCAACTTTACTGGGATTTACACAAAGAGAGAGTTTGAATTTATAGAGTTCTGAAAGTTGTTAGTAATCAGTATCTTACCGGCAGCACACAGCAATCAGATCAGTTTGGCGAATCAGAGATAAGTTTTCACTTGGGTTTTGAGCTGACATCTGCTCTGAGTGGAGACAGTTATAAAGAGAATTTTTACCAACACAAAACAAGGCGTTATCTCTGGCATGAAACTGCAAAACATAAGGTTTGAGTTGGAGAGTAACTGTAGCTATTACTGTAATAATCAGTCATCAATGTAAATATTAATATTGATGGATAAATCATACATAACCATGTCATGAAAATGTGAAGACACTAAGTGTTTCAGAATAGCGTTAGCTTGATTTATTTTTAAACTGCAGTTGTACAAAACAGCATTTCTGATTATACAAACTTATATTTCTCTGACTGCTACTTATTGCAAGTAAGATACTGACTGCTGCAAACAGCTCTACGGAACTCAATTTTGAAAAAAATGGTAGCATTTATTAAAAGAATATTTTATGCTAATTTGTTTAATTTATACTTTTTTTTTCTTTTCGTAGACCCCAGGAAAGATCCTGCACACATTTTCTACCCTCATAAAACTATATGGAACAGAAGAAAAAGCAGAATCAAGCTTTTGATCTAAATCTCAAAGATAATAAAAATTTTTAATGGCAACTGTTTTCATTTACACTCTTAGGAAATTCAGATTATGTCCTCCGAAACCAGAAAAGCTTATGTCATGGCCATCCCATCTCATTGAAACTGACTTTTAACAGACTTGTKCATTTAAGAAAAATGAAACCTGAAGAGAAAGCTCAGATATGGAAACATATACGGCTTTGCTTTCACGATGACAAATTTCTAAACACATCACTGTCGCTAACAGAAGCCAAATGTGTAAGGAAGCAGCATTATGAAAGCCGCCCACCCTCCTTCTGCACTCAAACAAATCACTCACAGCTGGAGAGGGACCGCAGACCACTCATGGCAAAGTGGCTTTTTCTTTTTTTTTTCTTTTTTCCTCCGAGCATGATGGATAAAATCACGTGGTGTCACAGATGTCATAGTTCCCATGGCAACATGCTGCATTCACGGAGCGCGGTGTGAAACCAGAAAACACACATATGCAGAAATGCCCACACAGTTACACATTTAAAAGCGCACGGACAATGTGGATGAAACGAGTGGCACTGAAACGTGGCCTTGTTCTCAAACGACTGAATTCACACGCCTCAATGTGAAACACAGAAAATATTCTGTCAAAACAAAGTTAATATCAGCGATTCACAGCTGTCCGGAGAGGAAAATGTGTGCTGAAGTTGGACACAAAGAAAAAATAATTGCAAGTCTGCTGAACATGAAATGCTTTCTAAACCCTACAAAAAGTTGGATTGGTTGCAAAACACTCTAAAAAACAAAGCTTAATATACGTATTTGTGTGACACAACTTTTTTCATGCAACAGCAGTTGCTGCAAGGACATGGTGACAACTGCAGCCTGTAGCTACATTAATATTTGTCTTTCACAGCCTCCCAAAGGACATTTACTTTTTATGCCCCATTGCAGAGATGCACAATCTTCTTTTTTTATTACAGAATCTCTTTCATAGTAAAGGATGAGTTCAGTTTTAGAGTCATGGAGTAAATCCCTAAATAAATTATCTAAATAAATGATCCAATGAAATATTTTTTAAACAAAGATTCTGCACAATCTGTTATACAGTCCCCTTCAAATGTATTGGAAGTCAAATTCCCTTGTTTTTTTTTTTTGTTTTGTTTTTTTGCAGACTGAAGACATTTCCTGGTATTTACATGTAGATTTGTGAAACAACTCAGGATTAATCCCAATTTGAATTACACCACAGCATTTTTAGGTGAGCAAAAGTAACCATGAGCTTGTGTGCTTTGGATCATCAGCAGTTCCATTCTTTCTGCACACTTTGGCCTTACCATCACTTTGGCAGAAATTAATCTTGGTCTCAGTTGATTGTCTTTCAGAACCTTCGCAGCCGAGCATGAAGCGGCCAGGATGAGGATCAGTGCCTCCAAATCTGGGATCATAGTCTTGAGCCAGAAACCGGTAGCGTGCCGCCTCCGGGTTGGGGAGGAGGTCCTGCCTCAAGTGGGGGAGTTTAAGTATCTCGGGGTCTTGTTCACGAATGAGGGAAGAATGGAGCGGGAGATCGACAGGCGGATTGGTGTTGCATCTGCACTGATGCGGGCGCTGTACCGACCTGTTGTGGTGAAGCGAGAGCTGAGCCAGAAGGCGAAGCTCTCGATTTACCAGTCAATCTACGTTCCTACCCGGATCTATGGTCACAATCTTTGGGTAGTGACTGAAAGAACGAGATCGCGGATACAAGAGGCCAAAATGAGTTTCCTCCGCAGGGTGTCTGGGCTCTCCCTTAGAGATAGCGTGAGAAGCTCAGTCATCCAGGAGGGACTCAGAGTAGAGCTGCTGCTCCTCTACGTCGAGAGGAGCCAGTTGAGGTGACTCGGGCATCTGGTTAGATGCCTCCTGGACGCCTCCCTGGTGAGGTGTTCCAGGCATGTCCCACTGGGAGGAGGCCCAGAGGAAGACCCAGGACACGCTGGAGGGACTGTTTCTCAGCTGGTCTGGGAACACCTTGGGATTCCTCCAGATGAGCTGGCCCCAGTGGCTGGAGAGAGGGAAGTCTGGGTCTCTCTGCTTAGGCTGCTGCCCCCGCGACCTGACCCTGGATAAGCGGCAGAAAACGGACGGACGGGCATTGTGCTGTAGTTGCAGAAATGAGACTTTCAAACGTTTTAAAAATACACACCTGAGGGCCTGATTCACTAGAAATACGCAGCAGCTGAAACTTTTGTTGCACCATTAATCTGCTCTGTGTCAGCGTCATATTCACAAAGCATCATTATTGTCATGCTGGAGCAACCATTGAGTTCCGCAGATGTGAACAAGAATAAGGTTTTGTTTTCTGAATGTGAAGTTTTAAACACTTGTTGGGCAATTTACTTATAAAAGCAACTTCCCCTGACACTTATCCCTGGAGGAGAAAATGAATTATAAGTTTAACTTGCCTTCTCTCTTTTCTCTTGTTCTGTTTCTTCCTCCATATCAGCCGGATGTGTAAAAGTTACACCAACAGCTTTAAGCAATTGTTTTCATGACCTAACCTAGACCAGTTTTCCACACTGGTATCAAACTAATTAGACATGTTTTATTTCAGCTCATTAATACATGCCTCTGGCATTTYTCTTTCTTAGTTACCATTTGCAGCCATCACGCTYTGGTTCCTGTCTAAGACAACATTGCCTCTTAATAATATGCCGCATTTAGCTCAGCATACCTCCCAGTCAAAAACCACTGATCCCATTCCCTCTCCCTTTGTGTACTGTATTCAAGCGCAAACACACGTATTCACACAAACACAGAGACACAAGCTGTACTCTTTCAACACAATGCCATACACAAACACCCATGCAAACAAAGAGTGGTGTTTTCGAAGGTGCTGGTATATGTATGCATGAATACACAGGAATGAAAGCCCATGTGCAGTGAATTGTAAGGGAAAGGTTGCTATCCAACCAAACACCTCCCCCTGCAAACACCACACAAACACAAAACACAGGGACTACTTTCATATTGTTGAATAACACTATTAGTGTCTGTACGCTCCCAGAGTCTGCCTCATGTAAAGTCTCGCTCATGTCTTGGGGAATCAGAAGTAGGCCGAGTCTGACGATACGCTCTTTTTAGATACTATCACTGTGGATCACAGCCAAGGATTTTTTTCTTTTTTTTGCTTCAAATTGCCAAGATGGAGACTCACAGACATAAAACATTAATCAGATTTCCATCCAAACAGGATTATAAAGAAGATACATCACAGGTCAACTAAACTGCAATTTGTGTGGATAAAACAAGCATCTATATGATACTTGTCCCACTGGTACGTAAGGGGTTCACACCTCACATTTGGCCAAGTTACAGAAGCAATTAAGAGGGGAGAAATACAGTGGAAATATAGTGTAATATAAATGAAATATGAGTATGCTGCAAGGAAAGATTCTTCAAAATAGTTTGGCCTAGATTTATTTAGTTGAGCGTTTAAAAGCTTTGGTCAGACATCCTCACTCAAAAGTTATCGGGGCGTAAATCATCAGCTTTATCACAATACAATATATCGATGATATATGGATGACGAAACGTTTCTTGTCTGTCATGATAGAATTTCGATTCAGTTTAATTCACAAGTATTCGATATGATGCAATATCATATACCCATCTGTGATATCGAACTACATTAGGCATATGATGACGATCTGGATCTTTGTTTTCATTTTGCCTCAATGTRCTTGAATCATTAATAATTTAATCAATATATTGATGTGGATTGAAGTATTGTTACACAATCAATCAAGAACACAAGTGGATTTTTTTATGCTTGATTAATGTGACACAAGGTATTATAGCAAAGCAAATGTAATATTCTTTATTAATAAACAATTCAAGGGCGGGGTTACCTTAAAAGAGTCAGCTCTGCACCTCCTCTTGCTTGCAGGTTGACAGAAGTCCACAGAGACTGTGATGTTTGCAGATCTGTATCGACTATCGAGAGGAGGAAGAGGTGGAAGAAAGTCTGGAGAGGTGGATTATGGAGGACCAAAACTGGCATAATCAGAAATAAAAGCAGAATCAGAATAAAAGCATATGATGGTCAATTAAATTACAAAACACGGGGCAAAGTTCTACTTTTTTAAATTTAATTGGTGCATTTTGAATGTATTTATTGGTCCATTAATTTGTTATTTTTTTATTTCTAATTATGTCAGTTTTAGTCCTCCAAAGTGGAGGTATGCTCTAGAGCAGTGTTTCCCAAAGTTGGGGTCGGGACCCAAAGTGGGGTCCCAAAACTTCAAGGTGGGGTCCTGAAAAGATTTTCTGAATTAATTACATTTTTGCCTTAGTTGTTACAAAGGAGTGAGGTTAGTGTATTTAAAATTGATAAATGTAGTGTAAAAAATATTGTTACTATGCTCATGTTTTGTTGACCTGATATAAATGTTTATCATCCGAAGATAGTTGGGGGCTCAGGTCTCTGCTACTGTTATTTTGTGGGTCAAAAGCTGAAAAGTTTGGGAACCACTGCASTTTGGTTCCCAAAGTTGGGCTTTAAGTTTTAATAGACTACTCCAGCAAAAAGCTATTTAAAGGGTAATAAAATAATTGCTGCTGTAATGTTTTTTCTATAACTATTACAAAAACACAAAATAAGTAAAAAACAAGTATTTATATGTGTGTACAAGGTGTTTAGATTGTCAAAAAGCCTGTGTTTTAAGGGTTATTTACAGAGTTCGTGTACTCAGACAAGTAATATTTGGGGTCACAAGTTTTTGCCATGGATATTTTGTGGGTCAGAAGACGATAAGTTTGGGAACCACTGCTCTAGAGGAAAAAATGTAATTAAAGTCAGCAGAAAGAACCTATAAGGAGGAGACAGGTGTAAAAGTGAAGCTGCAAKGACTGGAGGCACTAACCATCCAAAACAACAGGGAGTGGAAAACGGGGTGATGGGTGGAGGAGGTGCTGCAGGTATGGAGTGGAAGAAGCTTAATATTGATTTGTGACATGCAAAGCTGTCAGGGAGGCTTTCAAATGAGAGCTGCTTTGATGTTTGATTTGGAAATATTGGCACCAACAGGACAGGATGTGAAGATGACTGCGGTACAGATGAAGATATAAATAGTTGAATTAGGAACCAAAAAAATAAAAAATAAAAATACTTACATTGTTTGCAGACTCAGCACATCACCTTTCTTCTTCTGAGGAAAAGCTGTGTGTTTGCAGCTCTGTGGCTCCAGACAACAACAACAACAACAACAACAACAACAGGAAACACGAGGCTGCTGCCGCTGTGTGGAGGGCTGGCCTCGCCTCTTCTCCTCTCCGTAATGACCGGAGTCAGGTAACCTCCTCACACGGTTTTCAGACGGGGAGAGGAAGGACGCTCTCCCACTTCCCACCGGGCTCTGTGTGCGTTTGAAGCTAACTTTGGTCGGACTTTTCAAAGAAACTTTGATCCGTTTCGTCGCCCCGCTGTTGCGTTCACGTGTCATTCTGGGAGCGAGGAAAACACCGCGGAGGCTTCAGGTCTGTGTCGTATTTTTAGCAAGTCCTCGTTAATTTGGAGGAAGGACATCAGTTTTATTCACCTCCCGGCTGTTTTTTTATTTTATTTTATTTATTTTTTTTATTTTTTTAAATCGGCGGGGCTCTTCTGTTTTTATATTTTTGGGGCTACGTTTTGGACGTGCCGAGTGGGCAAGAATCAACAGGTAAGTGCGTGTTTTGGCTTTAGTGTTTTCGCGTGAATTGTTTAAATTTTGGAGGAGCTACGTGATCGGTTGACACCTTTTGAGCTTGAGCCAAGTGTTGGAGGTGAGCCAGGCAGAGGAGGTCAGCCCCGGCGGCTGCTGTCCTGTTTGACCTCTGTTACATCCACTGTCAAAAACTTTTATTTTATTTTATTTCGAAACGTGTTCATTTTATTTGCAACAACTGTGTACACAGCAAAGAACAAAAAGACATGCAATCAAAAATAAAATCAAATAAAATGAAAGGCAGCAGAAGAATAAATCTTATAATATCTGCCCTAACTTTTATGTTCATATAAAAACGTGYCTTACACGTTTGACTTCTCCTGCGTGTGGTTATTATGATTCTGCAGTAGTTTGAGATAATGGCTTTATTTTTAGGAGTTAATTGCATCTTTACATAAAAAAAACACACCCCAAAATTTCTAATAAAACCAATCAGGTCAACACATGCAAATAAATAAATTTAAAAAAAAATACTGTGTTGCAAGCCGGGGGCAGGATCTCAGAAATATGTGCTGATGTAATCATAGTGACTAATTCAATCAGTCTTCTGTCAATCAGCATTTTAATGAAACTCTCAAAATGTTCAAGATGGCTGCCACAGGTAAGGAACATAAAAGTATCAATAACTTTACTAGTTTTGATATTGAGCTAAAATTAGGTGTAATAGCTGAGAGTTTTTTTTTTTGTAAAAATAAATAGAGTTCAACAAATACTTTGAACACAAGTTGTGAACTATTGGAGTTAACTGTGTCTGTTAGCAAAATACTTCACTGAYTGGAATTTAATGAATTTCTGAAARTATTTATTAGGCATGCATCTACTGAATAACCTTTAGAGGCAACCTAATTTACATACCTGCCTAACTTGGACAGTTTTACAGATGTTGAAGCTAAAATTTGGTTTGTTAGCAGCTGAGAGTTTATTACCAGCACATGCAATGAAATGATTTTAGCCTAAAGCTCTGCAGTGAAAGGCAGGGGTACGTTCTGCCAATCATTTGCCATGCTTTTCAGCGAAACATCTTACAATCATGCTTAAATGTTTATTTTCTAAAGCGTATATGTGTTTTGACTCAATGCTGAGTAGATAACCTATTTTCTGTCATGATGGACTGCAAATAGGCGAAGTTGTTTCAGGTGAAAGAGTCTTGATTTTTAGATTGTCCCCGTTCAAAGAAGTTAAAGTTTAAACTGTGGCCGCCCTTCGACCACTCTTGCTGAAATGGGATGCTTTGGTCGTCAGGCGTTTAAAATAATATCTAACTAAACCCATCAATGCGTTTGCAAAAATTTAGTTTTGATCAGAATCTGCAGGAATTTCCCCAGTGTACCAAAAAGGCACGGAGAGGAGCAGAGTGGGTGGGATAGTTGTTAAAAGCAGAGGATTCGCTGAAACTGTGTGGTTGTCTGCATCACTAATCAGAAAGAGTTTTATCTTTTTTTAAATCACGTTGAAAGGAGCAGGGAATAAGACAAGGCAAAGGGGAGATTATAAAACAGAAAGATAAAAATGGTGGGAGACAAGGGAGTGATAATCTACCAGTTTTCTTTGCTTGGCCAACTTGGTGATGGACGAATTTTCAACAGGAGGAAAATTCCTCGTCTGTCACATCGCCTCCAGCCCTCTTCTTCATGCATCCATCCTCGGTGTGATAGATGTTAGAGTTACAGATTTTTTTTCTTCTTCCTCGGCTGTGGCGTTGAAAAAGGAAACCAGCTATTTTTTGTGACTGGTAGCTTCTTTGAAATACAAAAATGTGCTGTTTAAATGGGTGGAGTTTCTCCAGTTCGTGTGCGTGCTGTGGAGCCTGGCCTCATAAGTGATGTTGTTGGTTGATATAATGYCAGAGTTCCTCCTGACACCTTCAGTCCTAATGTGATGTTGGCCAGGTCGTTATTGCTTCAGGTTGTTATTATGACCAGACAGAAAATGGGCTCCTGAATTCCGAGTGTGCACAAAGACACCTGGACAAAATAGATGGATAAGTCACGTGAATTGGTAGCTTTTTTTGCTGGTGCAAGAAAAATCCAAAGTGGTAATTGCTTTATTGTCTTGCATTTACTTTGTTTCAACTAATATCAAAAGCTCAAAAAGATGCAACCGCTTAAAGTGTCTGGGACAATACAAAAAGTCAACGAAATAATCTTTATATTTAAGAAACTTGGCATAATACACATGATTTTACCCATTTTGTAACATAACTGGTATTTTTTATTCAGCCAGTGAAACAAAGTGACATCAAAAGGGAACTCTTTAAAAAAAACTCTGGTCTTTGTTTATTGAAACAATGTTATTTGAACTCTGACTCTTTTTCATCTCTCACTGATATCGACTCACATTCTGAAGAAACACCAGATCCTTCTGTACAGTCTATGTTGAAAGTTGTTGTAGCCCTTTGACATCACTTACAGTTACTGCACCTGAATGTCTCAGCAACATGAACACTTTTTGTTATCAATGTTATCTTTCCAAAAATGCATTCATATTTGTTACAAAAATTTAATGTCACAGGCACTTTAAGGTAAATATAGTACAGGAAACAAACACAAAAATGTTACCATGTTCTTGGTCATGTGGACCATCTACCAACTTGGAAACACTGGCAAAGAGCTTCTTCTTTGCCTCAATATTTAATGATTGATTTACAGTAAGTGGTTTGAAATGTAAGATAAAGAGGACTCTGACCCTGTTTGAGGTGTTCACAGACATGATTTCAAGAGAGTTTGGAAAATTCAGAGTCTATTGAGCTGGAAAGTGTTGCCTCAGCCAAGCGACCTTGAGTAACCCAAAGAAAAAGGATGATGGATGCTTAGTTTGATATTTGGATGGAACCAAAACAGAAAGCTTTAGTCAAACATTTGAACACACTTACTGATTCACTTAGATTACGCTCTTTCATGTATTTCTGATAATAAACTCTTTCGGCTCCACTGATTTCGACATATTCAACATTTTTTCCCATAGATGTCCTATGACAGAGTGTTTTGATGATGTCACTGTGTGTGTCCAAACATGCCTGAGATAGCAATCTTGTGAGTAGGAACAAACAATCCTAATCCTTTCAGTTTTTCTCCTTGTTGTTGCCCCTATTTGTTTTTTTTAATCTGTTAACTGTTTGAACTCTCAGTCACACCTAGGGACAACCTATGGTAACATGCATGGTTTTATGGTTTGATGTGCAGACGGGAACCAGAGAAAACCCACCTGTGCATGGAGAAAGCATGTGCTGTGAGGCGGCAGCGCTAAACACTGTTCTGAGCAGTGTTGTCTGCTTTAAAAGAAAGCCCACTGCAGCTCAGTTTAACAACAGTAATGACTTGGAAAGAGATTTGGTGAAACACAGTGTATCCTGTTTGATCTTTACGTGGCCGTGTAGCCGCAGATCAGTGATGGTGTCCAATTCACTGCTAAAAAAATGTGAACTGACTGACATACTATCACTTACCTGAAGAAGGCATGGTACAAGGATGCACTGTGAGAAGCAGGGGAAACTTTTGATCTTTCTGCAAATTGATTGAAGACAAACCATCAGTAAAACCTCACAATTTTTTGGTCTCTTTTGTGTCCCGAAAAGAAATGCTCCCACAATTGAGCGATGCCAGGGAATCTGGCCAATGTTGCTCATCCTGCCAAAGCTGCAGCTAATATGTGATGCTGTTTTCTAGTCAATTATGTGGTAAATCGGGCATTATCACTGCCAGTTCACAACAAAATCAGAAGAAACTCACCTGTTGTTGAATTGCACTCCGTGCCAAAAACAAATCCAAATCCCTCTCTGAAATTAGCAGGCTTGTTTTGTGGACTTATGGTGGCTTTGGTTGAAGCTGCAAAACTGGCAGAAATGTTGCATTGATAGTATAAACATTGTTTTTTTTCTATCATCAGAGCAATGATTTATATATCTTCTTGTTTAAAGGCATGCTTTTAGCCTGGCATACAGCTAAAGAGATGAGTCACATCTGTGTTTCATTGCTTTACACAGTAGCAATATGGTATTCTCATTTTAATTAATTTTGTTTAATTTTAAAGGCAGTAACTTGGAAAAAACATGGGCTCACATTTGGATGTCTCTGCCAGTGGTGGAGTCAGACATTTTTCTTAGGGGTGGTCAGAAAGGGACCACTACTCACACAGGGGTGGCCAGGAAAATGACATGATTATTTTACTTGAAAGTTTCTGCAGATCTTAGTGTTTTGGTCATTTGCTTATGTCCTTATTCAGGCAGTGAGTACCTTATAAACATGGGCATCAGAACCATTTTAAAAGTGGGGGGACACACTGYGGTCTGGGGGGCCCTCCCCCAGAAAATTCTGGACGAAATAGATGCCCTTTCCTGCATTCTGGTGTATTTTTACCTACTTAAATTAACACTTGATTTAATTATTTCAGAGACAGATTTTTCATTAAACTAGTTCCATCATCCTCTTTTTAAACTCACAGCTATATCTGAGATAAGTGTAATTAATGAAACACAGTTTATCATATCCAATAACTTTAGGCGAGGTTTTTAATTTTATATTGTTTATTGATTTATTTTTAATTGTAACACATGCCATTGTGCCAAATAATGATGACCCTACTGCATGTTTAAAACTAATATTATAAATTTTACCCTATGAAATTTAGTGAATTTAGAGGGGTGTTTCACTTTTCCTGATTTAGTGATAGGTCTACTCATAACCAAACACAGAGCATCATGCCACCTTCGTAACATAAAATGACACTGTTATGGTGACAAAAAAATAAAAAAATTGTCACCACAAGTCCAAAAGTTGACACCATAAGTCAGATTACACAGTCATAGGTTCTGTATATAAAGAAAAACATCACTGTCTTGTCATTACTCTTCTTCAGTGATAGAGCTTGGTGATGTTTCAAACTGTAAAACACTGCCACCAGTTGTTCAGGAGGATTATTACATCCCTAAAAGTTGTTTCACTGTGGAAGGGGTGTGT